CATGTCACGGCTCCGAAGGTCCCTGTAGACCTCGGAGTCAAGTTCCTTGACTTTGATAGCGTGGAATGCTGTCTAGTCTTAGACTTGAATGCAAGGTATGATCTCATCCTAGGAATGGCATGGTTGGAACACCATGAGCCATGGATTGGTTGGAGTCAAAGACCTTGAGCGCTACCTTCACGTCTTCTGCTGGAGCTTTGGCGAGTCATGAACCCACCGCTGCTAGGAGACAAAAGCGCTATAAGCGAGAGCACTGGACCGAGGTGGTCAACGTGCTGGACATTGGAATGTCCGAGTTGGTAGACACCAACGGTGTATTGGACAGGAGGCCCCAGCGTGGCTCGTAACCCACTGAGCGCTGCTCAAGTTTTGAAGCAGTCGCTGTATGTCATGCGTGACATGGTCAGTCAAGGGCCAAGGCATCGAGGGCAAGGGCCCCGTGATGCACGTGAAGTGGCACGTAAACCACTGAGCGCTGCTCGAGTATCAAAGCAGTCGCTGCATGTCATGCGTGGCATGGTCGGCCGAAGGCCGAGGCATCGAGGGCGAGGTAGGGCGAGGCCCCGTGATGCACGTGTAGTGGTACGTAAACCACTGAGCGCTACTCGAGTATCAAAGCAGTCGCTGCATGTCATGCGTGACATGGTCGGACAGAGTCCGAGCCATCTTAGGCACGGCCCTTCAGATGCGCGTGGAGTGGCACGTGATGCACTGGACAAAGACTGCGGGGTCAACAGTTCTTCGTCGGATGTTGTAGATAACATCGGAGCTCCAAAGGAGCGGAAAGTGAGGGTGACACCGGACGACGCGGAGTGCGTGTTCACCCTGGTCTCACCAAGACATAGAACCTCTGTAAAGAGGCGACGGCGACGCCGTATGCTGGCTGCAAGACGCCGGGCGTCGACCCTCCAGGGTGTGTCTAACGTAGACGACGGAGGAAGATGGCGACGTCCGCCTCGAGGCTATGCCTGCAATAGACGCTCTTCTTGAGCTGGACGAGATGTCCCTTGAAGAGTTCGGCAGTGCCTTGAAGGCAGGCAATTTGGCCGAAGTGGTCATTGTAAGACTGGACGAGGAGATAAACTCGTCATCGCTTTTGGATGAAACTGTCCCGGAGGAAACCAAGAGAGTGCTGAAGGCACGAAGTGGATCGTCGATACTGCGGAATCCCTTGGATCCGTACTATCTTTTGGTAAAGGAATTACAAGACGTCGTCTCCAAAGACCCGCCTTCGGTCCTACCTCCGGACCGAGGTGTGCGTC